TTCCCATGTTTAGCCGCTAGAACGCTCCTTCTTCTGTTGTGTGTAGTTAGGGATTGGTTTGGGTTTTTTTGGGTTTGATTTTTTTTTTTTTTTTTTTTAAATGGTCTAAAGGAGAAAAGAAAAAAAAAGCACTTTGCTCTTGTTGAGCTGTTCCTTAGTATATTTATAAGATGATAAAGAATATTTATCCCTCTATCCCTGACTTTCCAGCTGTGTCCCTTGCATTGAGGTCACGCACAGATCACTTACCAAACATTCAGCATTTAGCTCAGGGAGGGTCAGGAGAAGACCGACGTTGAGGGCCCAGGGCAAAGCTCCGGTGTCTCCTCCGTAGGGCTGCAGCGCCATCGGGCCCTGGCGCTTCATTTAAAGTCTGTCTTAGGGGCATGCATCACTACACAGAGGGCTGAAGAGCTGCTTCATGACCTTTTGTCTTTCTGCTTCTATCCCTTTGAGCTGCTCAGTCTCCTGGTCCAGGTGCAATGCTTGCTCTGCCATCATCAGTCTGGAGTCTTATTCATTAGATCTGCCGCATCGCTTGCTTGACATTCGCTCGGCTCTAGAAATGGCACAGCGGGATGGTTTGAGCTGTCCTTTCATGTTGCAGTGGCTTTTCCTTTGCTTCTGTATGTTGGAGGTTGCGGTAACTCTTGAAGCCAGTGTGTGCTCAGCCTGGGAGGCTGCACCCTTTATTGATTGCTGTTAACTGCTTTCAGGCTTATCTGTAGCTCACTCCTCCCCAAAGTAAAATTTGCAGAGGTTGTATTAATGCCAGGCTATCGGCGCTCAGCTGATGTGTCAGTAAGACCCCCAAAAGGTCTACTAAGAAACGCAGGTCTTAAAACCTGAATAGATACTGAGCTCTACAAGAGGGCTGCTACCGCCAGTGTGGCCAGACGAGTCACGGTGCAAGTAGATGCTACTTTAGCTTAACGATATTAGCTTGCCTGACCTTTCCAGCTGAGAGAGCGGAGCATTAATAACCCGTGCTTTGCCCAGGGAAGCTCAGGCCCCAGCTGTCTTGGGAGAGTGGCTGTCGGCTCTCTGGGGTCAGCGAGAGAAGCTGGATCTTTGGTATTTCACCTTCGGGTTCCTGCAGCTTCCTACCTGCCTAGCAGCAGCTTTTGAAGGAGTCCCGCTCCATGCGAGGGAAGTCCAGGCTGGGCACGTTCACCTTCTGGTCCGAGGTCAGAAGCTGCCCCAAACCTCGGTGTGTCTGTTTGCACACGACACGACTCCCTGCTTTTCGTTTTGACTCCCTAAGCCACATGGCTGGCAGCATCCCCTTCACGATACGAATGGCACATCCAGCTGTGTGGCCTAGCAGTGCCAGCAGCCTCGATGGGAACTGTGTAGACTGCTTTTAAAGCACAGCGGGTTCAACTTGGTGATTAAGCTGGTATTTCACCTGGTTCCCTCTCGCCATTGGCAAAGCGATGCTTTCCTCAGAACGAGGAAGAGCAGGGGAGCCCCAGCTCCCACCCCGGGCTGTTTCTGACCTCGGACAAGCCCCTAATCTCCAAGAGCTTCCACCCCTGCCTCCCTCAGTCTGCATGTGATGCTTCCCTACCTTCTGGGGAATTGCGGCCGGTTTCTTAGATGCTCTGAGATCCCTGCACGTGCGGGACTGCCTTGCTACTGTGCGTGCCATCTTCCACTTTGCTGTTAAGACTATGAACCATGCAGCATACGGTAAGAGCAGGTTATTTACTCTGTTAAAGCTCCCTGCATCAGCAAAGATGGAAATTCCCATTTGAATGCACTGGCTTGCAACACCTGTGAGTCCTCTGGTGCACATGCTGTGTCCTTACGGTGCCCACAAGGCTTGAGAAGCAAGTTGAGAAGGGAGGACTCTTTGCAGGACCTGAGTGTGTAGGAAGAGGCTGGGCAAAGTTTGCATTTTGCTGGTGAGGCTTGACCCCAGGGGGTAAGGCAGAGCACACAGTCAGCATCTGCGTTTTAACGGACCGGGCTCCTACTTCCGTTCTCCTCCTGTCTCTGATTGCACTGGTACCGACTGCAAGTCTGTCGACACATGTATGATTTTCAATAAACGCTTCGCAGTTGAACCTGAGCAACGATGAGTCTCTTTTGCTCGTCTGCTGAATTTAGTTGCCTGACAAGGAAGGTGGAAGTGGTGCCTACTGCTGTTTCTGGGATTGCAGTCCGTTAACTGATGCTTGCTGCTCCATTTTTCTCATGAGGAGGGTGGTGAAACACTGGAACAGGCTCCCCAGAGAGGTGGTGCAGTCTCCATCCTTGGAGGTGTTTAAGGCCCAGGTGGACAAAGCCCTGGCTGGGATGATGTAGCTGGGGTGGTCCTGCTTGGAGCAGGGGGTCGGACTAGACATGACCTGAGCTCCCTTCCAGCCTCATTTTCTGATTTCCCTGCTGTCCCTAAACACGCGTGGCACTTAATTCACTGAGTTGCTAAGTCTCAAAGCTGAGAGTGTGTAACTGGATTGTGGCAAGGCCCTGCATACCCTGAGGAGCGAGTGCCCAGGGCAGCACTAGCCGAAGAAACGGTGCTGGTCCTACGACCACTTTCACAGGCATGAAGGATCTTCTCTTTTTGCCCCTTCCACTACCAGCCTGCTCCCTCGTGCTCGCTGAATGCGGATGCTTCTGCTGCTGTTACGATGACGCCTTTCTTCTGCTGTTGGATCAAGATGTCCTTTGGGGCCTGAACGTGCGAGACCTCTTTGTAGTCACTGACGGCTCTTTAAAAACTAGTGTTTTTTTTAAAAACACTAGGAGTCATTTCAGCATAAAAACCTTCCCCCTCCAAAGAGGCTTTGAAGGACCAGCCTGCATTTGTACCAGATGCCCAAGGGTGGATGAGTGGAGCCGTAAACCTGAGTGTCGCGTAGCTGGATGATATTACTCGTAATCTGGAGGCCGCTCCGCAAACGGCTGCGTCTTGCAGAGCATGGACAGGAGAGAGGCTGGCTCGGGAACACCATGGTTGGGTTATGGGTTGTGTAGGCCAAAGACATTATCCCTTCCCCCCGCCCTTACGTCTCGTTCACAGGCTGGACGTGATCAGGATCCCGGGAAGAGCCGTCTCTGAGCCTGCAAGCTTTCCTCCAGCCTGGCTGTGCCCTTCCGCTGCCAGTTTGCACGTCTGAGCGTGACCCTGGCTCTGCTCATCATCACGATCCCGCATGCTAATAGACTCAGCCTGACCCGCCGACAGATCCAGAGGTACCCGTGGCCTGGATGACCATCACGCTGACTTGGAAACGTTTCAGACCACAGCGGAGAGGGGCCACGGATGCAGCGGATGGCTGCCGGAGAAGCGACTCGAGCCCCCGCAGCCAGGCCTGTAACATCCCCTGCAGTCAAGAAGCAAGACGGTGCCATGGCTGCGGCCTGTCAGGAGCTGCGTGGAAACCTGGGACGTTCGGGGCTTGCAGACGTAGGAAGGAACAGGCTGCTGCAACAACCGTGGCCAATGCCGCCAGGCTCCGGCCCGCTGAACGGCCTCTCCAGTAGCTGAGCTAATCTGTGCAGAGTCAGTGCTTCCAGGACTGGCTCTGATGGTATGAAAAGGCTACCGAGAGCTGTAACAGAGCTATTTTTAGCATCTCTCTCTCTCTCATACATTTAGTGCATTGCTTTGAGTTGGCATTAAAGTCCTGAGTTACCCTCGCTGGTCCTCGCTGTGTTTTACACGCGTGTTTGCACGATGTAGAGCGTGGTGCTGCATGGGTGCTGTCTGAACGGTCCCGTTCACAGGACAAGGCGAGGCGGCGGCAGGAGGAGGGAGAAAGGGCCGGCGTGGACGGGATTCGGAGCAGATCGACTAGGGAACCCACGTGTCCTGGGTCTCGGTGCAGCACGCTCTCACGTGTCGTGTGGTTTCCTAATTAAACCACGTAGAAGAGCTTGCACAGGAGGAAGCAGTCATCCTACTTCCAGTTCAACCCTCTGCGGATGTGAAGCACGGGGCTGGGCCCCGGTCAGGCTCCTCCGAGTCCTGCTGAAACCCCTCTCCGCCTTTGTTACACACACAAATCCCGGCTCTGTGGGCCTGGCTGCAAGTTCAAGTCACAGCTGGAGAGAAACCAGCCACATTTCCAAGCACTAGCTTTATAGCCCCTTTATCTCTGGTTCACAGCAGGACAGTCCTTCCTGCAGGGAGAGAATTACTTTGCACGCATGGCCGGTCCGTGACTTTGCACTTGCTGCCGGTCTAGAGGTCCCCTGCTAGTTACCGGTTAACTGTGCAATGGAGGGGATGGGCAGCGGGGGCCGAAAAGTGGCGCTGGACTTTTTTGGAGTGCAAAAGAGAAAGGACCTGACTGCAAAGACCCCAGGAAGGCTTGAGAAACCACCCTGGAAAGGATGTCCGGGCGCCCTGGACCCGTCCTGCTTCCCTGCCCGGCGAGGGGGCTTGGCAGCCCCCCGAAGGGGCTTCGGGGGCTGTTGAGTCGGGCTCCCGCCGCCCCGGGGGCTGCAAGGGAGGGAGGAGCGGGGAGCCCTGGGGACCCCGTTTGCCTGACTGCAAAGACCCCAGGAAGGCTTGAGAAACCACCCTGGAAAGGATGTCCGGGCGCCCTGGACCCGTCCTGCTTCCCTGCCCGGCGAGGGGGCTTGGCAGCCCCCCGAAGGGGCTTCGGGGGCTGTTGAGTCGGGCTCCCGCCGCCCCGGGGGCTGCAAGGGAGGGAGGAGCGGGGAGCCCTGGGGACCCCGTTTGCCCGCGGGGCCGGT